ACGTTGTGTGTGATCGAGATGAGACTGAGTAGCAACTGCGTGAGGAGGTGGATAATGATGCAGTCACAAGTAGCAAGTCAACTGTTCAATGTGGACCATCCAACGAAGTAGGCGTTACTGCCGATGTAGGCGTATCCAGATCAAAGTGGGCGTTTTTTTGCCAAGGTAGGCGTGTTCAGATCACGTCCGAAGGTCACCAGTTAAGTGCACATGGGTAAGCCACATGCAATTAAATTAATTACTTAAAGATTAATACTTAAAGTTAAATAAGTATCTAAAAGGAAATTAATATATGCCAGTCATAGATAAAAAGTAAAACATATTTAATGAAATAGGAAATTAGTAAATTTACATCTTGAATAAAATAAACACGTGCCTTAGCACGAACGTGAAAATTACGACGCTACACTGGTCGAAGCTGTAACCCGAATGCGGGAAAACAGTCTCTGTGGCAGGGTTGCCAACTTTGAATGTTCACGCCAAACCGGCGCTCCAGGATAGTTCGGTATCGCCGTAATGGCGAGACGATCCGCTGCACATTTATAAAATTTTGATGTGTGGTATGTTATCAAAAAGTAATGAAGGGATAATCTATGCCTATATTATTTGAAAATGAAATTTTCAAACGAAGAACATTTCATTTGGAATTCTGCGGATTTATAAAACAGGTGAGTGTTATGATTCTTATAATAAAAAATGTGCTTGTAAATATTTTTTTTCTTTTTTACGTCTGATTAAGAACTATAAGAATCAGAGCAACTGAATGACTGTTCATATAGAAATCGCAGGTATCCGTCTCATACAACAACGCCCCCTGTAGTTCGTTGCGATAACGAATTATACAGGCATTATACTTAATTAATATCTTACTTAAAAAAACAACAACTATTTCTAATTTGATTCAACCTTCAGAACATACGATTATTTTTATTCAAATATTATCAAAACCTAACTAAAATATATTATTTTTGGGACACACATAAAAATAAATCAATTCTACTTTTAGTAGATATAAGAATAAAATAATAACGTGTATTCCTAAAAATGCGAGCAAAATATTTAAGTTTCAGCTCTGCCAACCAGAAGTTAATAATCATAAAACAAAGCTATTTCCTCACATTGTAAAAAAAATAATAATTTGAAGATTATTCTGACCTATTTAGGAAGCAGGCATCACAGCTAATCTAATTTATTAAGATCTAAACAAAAAAAATTACCAATTATATATAGTATGTATCATAATAAACAACATCTGTAAAGTGAAACAGGAACTTTTGCTTATCACCCATAAAAATCTGAATATTTTCATATAAAGACTGTCATAATTTAGCCAAAACTTGCTACAAAGTTTATTTTAGCTCTATTCTACACGAAAATCGGCCGCAAATACTTAAAAAATTTAAGGAAAATGTAAAATTTGCTAATTTATTTCAAAATGACATCAAAGTACCATAGACTTACATTAGAGTGCTTGCCACCCAATTGATTGTAAAAAAGGATCGCGACGTCACGTGCCGTGCGGTTTAGACCACAGGTTTAAAGTTAAACCTCGTTCTGACAATTCAGCCTAAAGCATTTTGTAACTCAACTCAATTTTTCGAAGTTTGTTTATAAATAAAGTGGACTTAAACATGGCTCTGAAGCGGCAGCACGTGATGATTGAAAATGATGAAGAAGAAAATAAAGAAGATCTCAAAAGTATTCCAAAGCATATAAGAAAGCAAGACAAACGACTGATCATCGTATTAGAAAATGCAAATCTTGAAACAGTTAAAGTAAGATAATCTCAAAAATGTTTTGAAATAGTCTAGACAAAACAAAAATCAAAACTTTTAAAAATGTTTTATTTAAATAGGTACTAAAGTCGTTCATTAAGAATATTTGGAGAAATTTCCATATCGGGGAGATTTCCATATCGTGATCTGGAATCATCCGTCAAATTAATCTTTCAAATTGAAAAAAATACGTGTAAATATTTGCTGGTTGACCTACGAGTTAGTTCCCTTTGATATTTTTTGTTTATATACTTTTTAGCTGCCCGGAAGTCGCTGAGACTTGGCATAGAAAGGAATTTTCAGTGAGGGAGGAGGAATTGATAGCATTCCAGGCATCATTTCAGCTTCTGGGATTTCATAGACAGTATAGTCCAGATGAAAAGATCAAAAGATGTCACTATTTGAAATATTTCACAAAAACAATATCTTTTTCTCACCTTTCTTTGCAAAGATAAAGGAAGGTGACAGGAGAATGATTGATTAAATGGCTTAATAATATTTTAAGTTGTGGATAAAGCAAAAATTTAGATTCTTTAAAATGGTGGAAAGTTGCATATTTCCTTTTCTAATAAAATAGTAGAAATAGTTTTGTAAAGAAAGTTTAGATAAAAACTGATGTTTCAGGGCATAAATGACTCTCCGGTTCTGGGAGTTATCGCCTTGCGGAAAAGGTGCACAGTGACTTATTCATAGAAGATTCATTGGGAACTAAAAAACGTCTGTAATAAGAGGCGCCCGTTTTGTAGGATTGTCCTTAAAGTTTCACTGTATTCGTATCAAAGCAAATAATAGTGAAAAGCCAAGAATATAATGTTGATACATATCATCTTTTTGTTGATTTCTGTGCAGGAATCATACAAAAGCAGGTACATAAGACATCAACATAAATGGCGAAAAGTTCTATAAAATAATAATGACAAAATTTAAATTTTACAAGACATATCAATTATAACTGTTTCAAGCGTTCGAGATGTAATATCATCAATCAATTACTATCAGAATTATGTGGTTGTGAATAGCACCCAGTTGTTAGCCGTATTCCTACTGGCTGATTTTTATTCTCATTTTAGGGTTTTCACTTGCAACTAGAAAGCGACTATTAGAAACTTTTCTTGCCCTTGGGTGAACGACTAACTGTGAAAAGCAGTAGATTTTTGGTGTATTTTCGGTTTTTTCTAATACATAAATATCCTCTATTTTTAATCTTTGAAAGTGCCTGAATAAATTGAAGTATGGGGGGAAGAAGGAAAAAAGGAAGCAAATTTTTCCCCTTTCGGTTTGCCTCATTACACTGGGTCTTCATTTATCATATTTTCCGTTACACTCCTCATCTGCAATTGAAGAAATGCATTATAGTTGTTATAATTTCCCACTGACGTTCGTCACTTTTGTATACGAAGTTATTAAGTCTGCACCATGTACAGTGTTTCTTTGTTCTCTAAATTCATTACATTAACTTTATTATCCTCAATACTTAACTAAATGTTGTTTTACTACTTTTTTAATTAATTTTTATTATTTTCATTTAACTTTCTACGTTTTATTCTTCCATATTCATTTTTAACAATTTGGTATAAAATATTAATAAATGACATTTTAAAAGTTTTCTAATGTATGCGTACTCCGAAAAGAAGTTATTTCTTGCAATTGCAGTTTTTTTTTCATTTAATTTTACATTTTGTCAAAGTTCTTCTGTTTTGGCATTTTTCTCTTCTGATATATCGCTAGATGATGTAATCGCTTTTAATATTTCTGATTCTGACTACCGCATGCAGAAATATTATTGCCCTCACTAACTTTTGTTGGTGTTGCTAATCTCAGAATCGTCTAGCTGTGCTAGACGACTCCCATGAATCCGAACACTTCCAAAGAGTCCATAAAAAGACTGGAGCAGGACCTCATCTTTACCGAGCCCCAAACAAAAAGAATATGCGCAGGGGAGGCCATGTCTGTCGAGTACCAATGACATTCAGGGTAAGTTTTTTGGCCCCGGTTGAAAGTAAGGGATCTTGTGTGGCCACTCAAGAAGCGTGAAAAGGCAGTTTGATGGGCTCTTGGTCTAAGATTGAAAGATTCTCGTGGTTTTTTTGCAAAATGCCAAGATTGGTTAGGAGGAGTTCTTATGGTCTTGTTTAATTTCATTTTTGCCAGGGAAGAAATTTCACTAAAGGTCAGCTTCCCACAATGATCAGTGTCTTCTTCGGCAGCGGATTTGGCCCGGAAGTCAGCCTTCTCATTCCCATCAACCCCAACATGTGAGGGAATCCACTGAAAGTGTATAGAATGGTTGGATGAAAGCCTGTCACAGATTCATGTGAAGAGAATTTGAGCAGCTTCAATTGACCCGAAGGTCTAGGGCACTAACTTTTTCTTTTTAAATATCATTTTTTTTTAATTCATTAAATTATAAAGTTTTTATTTATTTTATGAACAGATATTCTTATTTATATTATTGCCCCCACTATCTTTTTCTTTTTAAATGTCAGCTTTATTCATTAAATTAACATCTACTTATTTAGGAATAAGGTGATTCAGGCAATTTCTTTTCAAACATAGTAATCTTTTTCTTATTATTACTTTAAGAAATAGTTTATGAAATTATTTAGAAATTAAATAAAAATTATATTTCAATATAACTTAAGATTTTCTGGTTTGTTTTTTGTGATGTTGAAAAATTCATGTTAATGAAGTTCATGTTTGGAATATCTATGTTTGATTGTGTGTGTATTAGAGTGGGTAAAAAAAATTTTTTTTTAGAATTTCGGAACATTTTATACAGAAAAGTTGCCTATTGTAATAAAAATAAAAATGGCAAAAAAAATTTAAAATAGTACAATATCTTCTTTTTACTTACCGTACTTAAAATGAATGAAAACTTGAAAAAAGTAACCCCTTTTTAAAACAAATTTAGTTTTTTATTCTTCTTGGATAGTTTAAATAACTTAAATTCTGATAAATATTTTTTTTTTTATGTTCGCACAACATTTTGGACACGAATCTTCGCGTTCATGTATTTTATCCAAAGCTCCTGCCTCAAGTTTGGCACACCTTTTCATAGTCTGGGAGTGATAATAAAATATTTTTGTATTTCTCTCATTCATACGCTGAGTCCTATCTCCATCCTGTCCCATTCCAGACTGTTGTCAACCAAATGCATAGATTTTACATAAGAGGGATCTTGAAAAGCAGGGCAAACTGTCACAATGAAAAAGACTGTTAGAAATTTTGTACTTTCAACCTTAGGATTACTTTGAAATCATTAATTGGAATTCTTGTGTTTTATATATTTCCCGAATGCTGTACAGCTTGAATGAAGATAATATTAAATTACCCAATAGTTCTGACACTTTGTATTAGAGAAATATCAAAATCTCCTCGCCGCTCTCAAGCTGGGGAAAAGAGCATCAAACTTGTGAGGACATGAAACATATAGTTCTTGATCAGTTATGCCTCAATTCTTCAAATGAGAAACCTTAAAAATTCAGTAAACAAAGAAATCCAACTCCTTGAAAATCTTTATATACAGCTATAAATATAATAAAGTACTCCACCAAAAAATTGAGTGGTTATTTGGGTAGAATGTAGGTGGAACTCAATGTGCAACCATTTTCACATGACGAGTTCTAAATTGGTCTGTTCCAACATGCGCGAATAGATACATAAGAAAAATTGGTAAACTTTTTTTTTTTTTACCTTAAAGGTTACACGAATCCAAAAAATTTAATTATTGATCAAAATTTAATTTATTTAGTTTATTCAAACTATCAAAAAAGCGTAACAAACTAAAGCGTGTTTATTTAAGAAGTTTTAGCCAACTTAAAATAAAATGAAAAGGATGTGATTTTTTCTAGTTTTCATTTATTTTAAGTATGATGTGCAAACAAAAGATATTAACTGATTTTAAAAGTTTTTATTCTTGTTACAATAGACAACTTTTCAACACTGAAGCATTCTGAAATTCATTTTCCCCCCCAACCCATTACAGTGTTTGTATATGTTACCGGCAAAGTATGAAATCCGGCATTGTATAGAATGCCTAAAATTAGCCGGCAAAGTTTGAAATGATTTATATTTCACACATTGCCTAGGCATTCTATAGAATGCCAAATGAGAAACCGGCAAAGTATAAAATTCATCTCCGATTCGTCAAAATGTCATTCAAAAAGGACAAATTCAAAACGTCATCCGATTTGATATTAATTTATTCGTCGATATAATTACATTTATTCGATATTTTAATACTTAGACGATAGATTAGAACAGTGTTTCCCAAACTTATGTCTTCTGTGTACCCCTTCTAAATTTTTCGTAACGCTGTGTACCACTAAAAAAAATGAATGTAATTTTTACTATAAAAAAATGCTCAAAAGTTAAAAATCACAACTGGCTGTTGACACCCCTAATTATTAACTGTTAACTCTGCAAAAAATAGCCAATAGAAAAATACGTTATCGTAAATTTTCATGGTTAGCTTTGTTTTTAGATAAAATTTCGTGAAATTTTCGTTTGTTGCAAGATATTTCACATAAGAACACGTACCCCCGCTAAACTGTTCATGTACCCCTGGGGGTACGCATACCACACTTTGGGAAACACAGGATTAGAAGAAACATCAGTGTTTGGAGTATCGGGCAAATATATACCGGGCAATGGCACTTGACCTTAAAAAATATCAGTGCAGGGTATACCGGGCAATGTCCCTTGACCTTGAAAAAACATCAGTGTAGGATATACCGGGCAATGTCCCTTGACCTTGAAAAAACATCAGTGTAGGGTATACCGGGCAATGGCACGTAACTAGACCTAGTATGATTAGGCCTTTGGTGAATGTCCGAAGTATATACTAGGTCTAGTTAAGTGCCACTGCCCGGTATACCTTACTCTGATGTTTTTTTAAGGTTCAGTGCCATTGCCTGGTTTACCCTACACTGATGTTTTTTTAAGGTCAAGTGCCACTGCCCGGTTATATTTCCCCGATACTCCAAACACTGATGTTTCTTCTAATCTATCGTTTAAAATATCGAATAAATGTAATTATATCCACGAATAAATTAATATGAAATCGGAGGTAATAAATATTTCGGACATTCACCAAAGCGACTATGTGATAGTCAACATTCACCAGTGAAAGTCAACAACCACCAATTTCGCTCATTCACAGTAACATGCACATTATTTACATAATAACTTCATCGGGACGTTTGTTTCATACTTTGCCTAAATAGCATCCGGCATTCTATACAATGCCTAGGCAAAGTATGTAATACTTCTCACATTTCATACTTTGCCTAAAAGCGTTAGGCATTCTGTACAATGCCTAGTCATTCTATACAATGCCGGCATTTCATACTTTGCTGGTAGCATATACAATGCATCGCCCAATTGAGTTCCATTGTTTTACTTCAATATTTACTTATTATTTTGTTTCCTTAAATATGTTTCAGAATGGTCAACAACATGAATTGTTGAATAGTGAAGATCATCTTCATATCATAAAAAAGAAAAAGATTACGATGTGTCGTCCAGATATAACGCATCAGGTAAGGGTTAATTATCAATCTACTTTTAAAATGTAATAGTTATCGGTGTGGGAATATTGTCAACTATTTCTTATTTTTAAATTTCTTCTAAATGTTGCTTTAAAGTTTATGATTGATTTCTTTTTAAGAAATGTCAATAACACTTTGGTGCATTTTTGCTAAATTTGGTGCTGGTAATATATTTATTATTATCATTTAAAACATAGATTCTCAACCTTTTTAACATTGCCGCCCCCTTAAGAAGCAAAAAACATATCAACGCCCCCCTTTGTAAAAATCCAGTTATTTAGAGCATGAGGATGGAGGGGTTGTGCTGAATTATAAGAGGCATTGCACCAAATCACCGCATGAGTCAGGGGCAAAAACTACTAACTCATGCGGTTCTATGCTGATTCGGATTGGAAAATATGTGTCGCATAAATTCGTTTTACGGCTGGTACTAATGCTGTATCAGATAATCTTAATTTATTATATTAGTTTAATCTTTTTTTTTTCTTTAACATTGATTTTAGATTAATTTTATTTATTAAATAGTGATTTTAGATTAATTTTATTTATTAAATGATTCTTAATTTAATAATTTTATTTGGGAGTATTAAAATTAAATTTGAATAACGAAGCATGCTCATCGTCACCCTACCACCCAAAACTGACGTAGCGCCCCCTGCCGGCCAGAACAAGTCCACCACCCCTCAGCATACTCCCAACGTTCCCAGGGGAGCGTTATCGCCCCCGTTGAGAAACAATGATTTAAAACAATTATTGCCCTAATTTTTGTTAGGATACTAACTAAACTAAAAATGAAGAAGAAACTAAGAATGGCCAATACAATCGTTTGGCAGTATGTATGATAAAAATTGTTAAAATTTAAGCAAATTAAATTTAATATAGAACCAGAAAAAATTTCTCACATATACTCTTTTTTTAAAAAAATTAACCATTTTCATTCAATTCAAATCTAATGCCTTTGTAGCAATTGTGAGGACTGTTTAGTTCAGGTTTAAAGTTAAAGCAAATATTCCTTGGAACTTTCACAGTAACAAAAATCAGAAATAATGACACCTAATGGTGTAGAAAAAATATGACTTTGTCAAAGGGCCATTCAAAACCTCTATGTGTGCCGAGTATATAAACACCATAACCTGACAATAATATACGAAAGAAAGAAGAAGAAAAATTTAATTTGTCTATTTTAAAATGATTGTATCTTTTCTTCCCATGAAAGACTCATTGACTAAAAAAAAAAAAAAACTCTTCCTTTTTAATATCATTTACTTAAAGTTTTATACTTAATAACTTCTTTTGTTTTTTTGAATACTTAAAAATTACAGCTAACTATTTTATTGAAATTTGAAAAAGTTGTTACTGATATTTGTTTTACTATCAGTAAGTAATGTATGAAATTTTTCTTATATTTTAATATTTCAAAATATTGCTATAGAAAATTGTTATGTATGTAATTAAAAATTTTATTGCTAGATATTTTTCCGATTAATTTTTCAAATTATATAATTGCATTGCTAAACGATTTTCTGATTGTTTAATTTTATTGTTTGTATCATCGGATAAGCCTTTCTGGTCATGATGGCCAATGTAGGATACTTTCCTGATTTAGGCAAAGATTCATATATACCCATGCAGCAGCGGTGTGAGACAAATGTTTTGTGATAATTTTGCTGTCCTGTATTTGTTTAATAAATGTTTTTTTTTTAATTACCTATGGTCATTGCATTTTTCTACAATATGTATACAAGGTTCCCACCGTGCTTAAAAGTCCTTAAAAGCTGTTTAATTTTCATTTCGGAAAATAAAGGACCCTTTAAAGTAACTTAGTTTTAGCTCAAGGCTTTTAAAAGTACTTAATTTTCTGTAACACTATAGTTGACAGAAACAATTTTTTGAATCTTACAACAATTAAAGAAGTTCTTTTATCACCTAGAATGTGACTGCACATCGAGTGTAGAGCATTTTGAGAGGCAAGATGGAGGGTGTGCGGGAGCTACAATTCAAGAAATTCAGCTCTACTGGAAGCGAATGTGATTATAGAAACAAATTAAAGCCCTACGAAAAGAAATAGCAACAAAAAAAAAATATTTAACTCTAATCTATAACGGAAACCGTTTAAAAAAAATTTTTATAATCTTTCAGTGTGTAATAAATAACTGTAAATTTATAAAAAGTGGTAAAAAAAGGTTTTAAAATTCCCAATTTTACTGAAAAATAAACAGTTCTGTATTAAACAGAGTTTGAAAAAACAAGGATTTTTTTGAAAAATCCCAGCCCATCTGTATTTTTTTTTTTTTTTTAATCAAAAACCCAGGTTTTATCCTGTTTTTCTTGAAAACCCAGGGTGTCTTTAAATTTTTATTCCTGAGAACTTTATTAAAAATACTGTATTTGCTTCTAACAAAAAAAAATTTAATATTTGCTGTGTACTTTGTTTCAATGTAATCATTCTTTGTGAGGATTTAGATTGTAGTACAGTAGAGAACCAATTATCCGGGATGCTCGGGACCATCGCTATCCCGGATGTCTGAATTTCCCGGTTTTCTGGATCGACCAAAATGCGTCGTTAATCGATGTTTTATCGACCTAAATTAACTAATACAGTAGGGAACCGATTATCCGGAACGATCGGGACCATCGCTATTCCGGATAACTGATTTTTCCGGTTTTCTGAATCTCTACAAAAAGCCGTTTTTTTATTGTTAAACCCAACTAAAAAAAATTTTTTTTTGGAAATAATCTTAAAAAGAAGAAAAAACGATGGAGCAATACACTAATGATTATTTCGAAAATGATGGTAAGGTAAACATCTTTCAAAAAAGAACGAAAAATCCTAAAATTTTATAAGGAAAAAAAAAATTTNTCGAACCGAAACGATAGTTAAAAAACGGCACTAGCATAAATATTAAAACCTAGAACAAGGCAAGATCAACAGACTTTAAAAAAAAAAAAAACTAATGAAAAAATTTGGTAATACAAATAATTTTATTGAGTGCAAAATTTATCATGAAAAAGAAAAAAAAAACGTAGTGGAATCAGAAAAACGAAACTGCAATCTGCTTCATAAAATAATTGTATGCTTAAATTAATAAACAATTCTCCTTTTTTTTTTTTGTTGATAAAAACACGATATTTAATTACAGCAGATGTGATTCCACACCAATAAAAACTTGCAAATGATACTGCACTTGAATTTATTCAGAAGAAAAAGATTTTATTTTTATTAATCGATGTCAAATAGATAAATATATTTTTCTCTTTCATCTTCTGTTCACTGATATGCATTTTCCCCACCCCCCTCGTAAATTAAACAGAAAACGAAATCAGCATGCCACACCCTTGAGCTTGATTGACGGCCTAAAAGAAAAAATAAAACATTCCTCCCTTCCCTGCCTTCAAGGTCACGGAGGAAATGACGTTTCTCTGGGTAAACGGGGAAAAAAATTCTCTCCTTCCTTACATTTTCCTCTACTCAACTTCAAGGATGAGTTCATTTCCGCTTTTTTTCATAATCATTCTAGTTTAAAATGGCGGGAAAACCGATCAAAATTTTTTCCCGGTTTTCTGGTTTCCCGGTTATCTGGATACCGGATAAATGGTTCTCTACTGTACTATAATTTTTATCTCTTAATGACAATCAGATTGTTAGTTAAAAATTTAAATCTACTCAATTAAAAGACATCAATTTTTTTTTTATCATAGCTATTAGAATAACGTTTAAATTTGGACTTTATTAATCATTTTATTCAGTTAACATTGCAATTTAATATACTATTTTGTTTTTTAATTTTCTATTCAACTTTTGGTTACTTTAAAACAAGTTAATGTTTTTTTTTTTTTTTTTTTTTTTTTTTTNCCCAATACCAGGTCCAGTTAATTTTTTTTTTTTTTTTTTTTTGTTTAATATTGTATAAACTTAATTCCTAATAACGGTTTCGGTTGGATATAATTCTATATAAAGCTCATTATAAAAGTAAATATAACACAATTGCTAAATAATAATTTTTAAATGGTTTAGTTACATATAGTTTTCATTACTGTTTCATAAAATTTTTCAATATGTTTTTTTATAAATATATATATTTTATGAAATGTTACGTAATAAGGTGATATTACAGGTTTAGTTTATAATAAAAGAATACCTCAGATAGTTTTAAGCTGTTGATTTGGGATAAAAATCGAATCGTGATAATAGTTGAGAATAATATTAAGAAAAGATGATAAAGAAATACTTCAAGTAAATGCTTTTAAAAAATGAAAAAATAAATTATTTATAGGTTACATAATGCAACTTAAAAATTTTCTTGCCATAAGAATGTGCTGATAACTTTAAAAACATATTAAATCAATTTATTTTTATGTTGCATCTATAAGTTGCTAATATACAAGGGTGTTTCGAAAAGTAAAGATACACTGTACGCCAGAGGAAAAGAAAAGTTTTGGCGAGCAATTTGGCAACACAGGTTTTAACCTTGAATCGTTAGCTTTCTCCTCGCGGTCGTTCGGCATTTCAACGTTGATTCTGGTTGGAGTAGGTCGTGTTTAAAATGGCTACAGCGATTCGTAATCCCGCCAAATGCGAAGTGCGCTCCGTCATACATTTTCTTCATGCAAAATATCAGAGGATATTCACAAAGAAATTGTTTTTGTTTATGGGAACGTTATGAATAGACAAAATGTAACGAAGTGGTGTCGTCATTTCTCTGAAGGTTGGACCGATATTCATGACAAACAAAGAACAGGTCGGCCATCTATGATGTCCTTCTTCAGAGAACAGAGGAAGCAATTCGTGAGAATAGACGTCTCAAATTGAAAGAATTGCGTCAGATCATACCGGAAGTGTCAATGACAACTCTTTATGAAGTTGTGACTGTCAAGTTTGGGTACAGGAAATTGTGTGCGCTCTGGGTTCCAAAAATGTTAACAGAAGAACACAAAATGAAAAGGATGGGCTTTGCACTCGACTTCTTCACACGCTATGCAGAAACAGGTGATGAGTTCCTTGATCACATTGTGACAGGTGACTAGATGTGGGTTTATCACCATACACCTGAATCCAAGCAACAATCAATGCAATGGCGCCATTCGAATTCACCCAAAGCCAAGAAATTCAAAACTTCGATTTCAGCGAAAAAAAATCATGGCTTCTGTTTTTTGGGACAGACAAGGCATTCTTCTGTTGAAATTTATGCCTCCCAGAACGACAATTAAAGCTGCTGCATATTGCCAGACTTTGAAACGTCTTCGAAGAGCAATTCAAAACAAACGCAGGGGAATGCTGACAAATGGAGTCCGCTTGCTTCATGACAACGCTCGGCCTCACACAGCGCTCGTAACCAAAGCACTACTCAAACAATTCAAATGGCAAGTATTGGACCATCCGCCATACAGCCCGAACCTTGCGCCCAGCGACTTCCGTTTATTCCTTTACCTGAAGTCACATCTTGGTGAAAAATCATTCCACGACGATGATGAGGTCAAAGATGAAGTTGAAATGTGGTTCCGACAACAGGCGGCAACCTTCTATGACTGTGGGATACAAAAGCTTGTGCACCGACTTAACAAATGTTTGGATAACGGGGGTGATTATGTCGAAAAATAAAAAATTCTAAAACCTTATTAAATTTCTTTGAAATCATTAAAAAAGGAATCTAAATTAGTTTCATAGATGTTATCAGGGGTCTGTTTCGTAGAAATTTGGGTCCGCTAATGGACCCTTAACAAAACATCTTTTCATAAAAACGGGTCCTTAAATATAAAATATTTTAACTTGAAAACGGACCCTTCACAAAATCTTTTAATCGGACGCTTCACAAATTTGTTTCTCTTCATTATTGTTTTGTTAATCGAATAAACCCTACCGAGGGGGAAAAAAGGAAAGAAAGACGATGTAAACCGATTAAGTTTTGTCTTCGTCAGACGCCTCTTCTGTTATTTGTCTAAAATGAATATTCTGCTTTCAGCAGTATAGGCTAAATACCAAATATATGTATGTTGCATCTTTAATTTAGTAGCAGTAATTGCTGTTTATTTTTGAAAATTTAATTTTTTTGTATTATAATTTTACAATGTTGAGCATAATCTTGTATCTATTTACAACTTAAAAACTCTTTGAAAAAATTTTTTGCAATAACAGGACCCTATTTGTACAAGTTCATGAAAGCCGGACCCTGATTCTATTCACAAATTACGAGTAATTTTTTCACAATTTTACAAAAACAGGACCTTTCACAAAATGTCTGGACAGAGCCCTGGTTATTAACCCATAATGTGGAAATATTTTAAGTTTTTTTCCAACCCCATTATTATATTTGTTATTTTAAAATATTATTATTAAATAAATTATTAATTATATTTTTATAATTATATTCATTGAAAATATAGCAACAATAACTTAATGATTTATGCTGCTATTTACTTGGCATTGGATACAGTAAGTGCCGTGCCTCTTATATGAAGGCATTTGTTCTGGTCAGAGTTATATATTATGAAAGTTTTTTATGTTCAGATAAACTTAATATATAAACTTATAATATATAAACTTAATTTATGAGTTCAGTAACATTTTCAAGCTACATAAATAATTTAATTTCATAAAAACTAATAATTTTTATAAATGAATTAACTTGATTTAAATCACTGTAACCAGCCTGGATATTCAACAACAGCAAAAAAAAAAAATGCAAAATTATTATATCAAAAGTTAAGCACTTGTAATGGAAATTTTGTTAGTAAAAACAATAGTAATTTAATTTCAATTTAAAAAATATGTGTAAGGCATTAGGAGTCCCAATGTTCTATAAGGAACAGATACTTCACTTTTCCGTTATAATTAAAAAGGACATTAATTATGCTCCTAAGACAATTTGAATGCATTTCAATTTATGAATCAATTTAAATAATCTTCAATTATTTGGAAATCTTGTTTTAAGGACAATAATTTACAATTATATTGCTTTTGAAGCGAAACCTATTGATTCAGTAAACTTAATTTTGAATGGAAAAAAACATCTTTAAAAAAGTGAGTTTATTCAAGTAGACCCACCAAGAAAAAAAAAAAACTCTCCCGCATTCGCCTTAAGTTTCCTGGGCCCACTTCGGTTAACCCTGGTAATAAGTACAATTATATCAGTACTTGCAATATATATATATTTTTTTAAAGGAAGGTAAATAATTGGTACTGCCACTGTGGGTATATGTATATTTGATGATAAACAATTATTATACGATTTTCAATAAGTTCTTCAATTTTTCAACAAAAAAACAAGGTCTTTAATTTTTGCTTTGTTAAAAGGACATAAACATAATACATATGTATTATGTTTATGTCATGGTATTATGTTGTGGACATGTAACATAAAAAGCTAATCTTTTTATGTTATTTCTTTATCTAAATCTTCTTAATTTTTTATTATTAAAAATTAAATGCTTCCTCACACTTCATTATTCACATCCTGCTTCTTATTCTATTTTTGTATTCAAGTATGCAAAAATTAAAATTTCCCCTTAAACCATATTATTCCTTCGACCAATTGTAATTACTAAGATTTCCAGGGTGCGTAGCGTTTGTAAAAAGTACTTAAAGGTGCTTTTTTTGGGGATTTCGTTTTTAAAAGCTTTTAAAGGTGCTTTTTTCAGCTGGCGTTTTTAAAAAGTGCTTTTTTTTCCGAATAATTTTTTCCCCCTGCAGTGATATCTGGTGGGTCCCATGCATTTCACGAAAAATGGGGAGTTTGCTACGTAATCATTCACGTGGACTTCATGTCGTACCCACGTTATGGCTTGCGCATGCGCGCACACTTGAAACCGAAAGCCGAGTGCTCCAATTCGGATAGAGAATATCGGATCCTTATGAAATGTTTTTCTTTTTAATTTATTTTAATTTTTTTCTTGTTTATTTTATTTTACTTCTAACACTTTTTTTGACGTAGGGGGTTAGGGTACTTTTGTTCTGAGTTCAAGCTCAAGTTGAATTCACTCGGTGATGTGGGAAAGTACTGATTGTTTCGATTTACGCCCGTTTCTTTTTGTGTTTTTTTTAACGCTAAAACTGTTTATAAAAAATTTTTGTTTTTCAGTAATATCATTGATTGAATATGAATTTTTTGAGTGCTTGAAAAGTTTTTAAAAAGTGCTTATTTTTGATTCAAAGATTTGGCTACGCACCCTGATTTCCCTTTCTGCATGGGACATATCATACTATAGATACCACCTATACATGGTGATTTTGAATAGCATCGCGGGCCAAATGTTCAAATCAAATGTATCGAATTTAAAATTGAAAATATTGGTGTTGTATATCAACTTCCTTGGGAAGCATCGTTGCTCCATTAAGGGTATTTAACTTGCATTTCGAGGATTAAGAGGTAATTTTTAACAATTATGTCCTTATATATATTTAGTTTATGCTTATATAAGCTATATTTCCTAATCTAAAACTATGACTGTTTTAATCTATTTAAAATTATTGGAACTGCTTCTCACAGAAGACTATTTGATTTCAAAAAATTTTTATATCTGTAGTATCTATGTGGATTGGCCTGTTGTGCCGGTTTTTACATTTTGCTTTGAGAAAAAATTTTAATATGAGGCACTGTTTTATGTGCATTGTGTTAAACTTTTTTTTATATTTTTGTTTGTTGAAAAATGTCTCTATTTGCAAGATATTCTTTAAGGTTTGTATAAGTAATTTTTTTAAGGTGTAAAATATCATTACGTTTTTCAATTGGAAAAAAAAGTTTAAGGATACTTTTTTGCTGCTGTAATTGATCAAAGTTAAAAAAAGAAGAAAAAAATTTAATATTTGTTCTACATGAGTATTGAAATTTTTATGAAAGTATCATTTAAATTCTGTTTAACAATATAGCCTTTAATTATGTATCTGTTAGATTAAATAGTTGTTTTATAATGTCAGGAGTATTTTTATTTTAACATTCTTCCCCCTCCACTCATGTATTATGATCTGTGAAAAATGTGGTACAAAATGGCTCCCATTCAAAAACTATGTTCTAAAATATCATTTTTATGTAAAAAAAAAAATAATAAATTATGTGCTTAAATTTTTCTACCTTTTTTTGAAATTTAGAAAAAGAATTTTCATTTTTAGCATGAAATCAAGGTCCAGAAGTTATATTATTTTTATTCTACTAATTGATTTTTTTTCTTTACATTTCAGTGCCTATTGATGCTTTTTGACAGCCCACTTAATAGAGCAGGATTGCTTCAAGTATATGTGCACACTGAAAGAAATGCTCTCATAGAAATAAATCCTCAAACTAGAATACCAAGAACATTTAAGCGTTTTTCAGGTTTAATGGGTAAGTTTAAACAACTTACAATGTACAAAATTTCCACTCGTCAGCTCATAATTTTTTTAAATGGTCTGTGTCTTGTATCAAGTCAATTTGTCATTCGTCTTTTTTTCCCAGAGATAGCATTTACATGCAAAGTCTGTGGGAAAATATCGGGATACAACTTGGACAAACCTTTGAGTCCGCCCAACTCTAAATTCACCAAAATGATTTGCCTAGAACATCCCCTCTTCTTAACATATTTTGACTTTGACAAGGAAACATTTCTCAATTTTAATGGTATGTGGATGACATTGAAATCATTAAAACCTTATTGCAACCTTATTCTAAATAAATGTTGTTGTTTTTTTGCAATAAGTATGTCTTATATTTTCTACATTCTTCAATGGTTTTTGTTAACAAAAGGCTCTTTGTATAACATTTGTAAACATTTTAAAAATTTGTGAAAATGGTGGAGAGTAAGAATATTAATTTGACTTGTACATTTGAAACTGAAATTTCACATCTTGCAACTTATGTTTGATTTGTCAACAAGTTTTGTGTTATTTTTTCATTTGCTTGTTAATCATTTGTTCGCTATGCTAATATTTATGACGAAGAAATGTTCTGCATCATCAAAGAATAATTAAGAGATGTTTAGCACATATTTATAGTAAAACCTGTATTATTGCTAAAACTGAATTTTTTTGTTGCTTGGAATTGCTGTCAATAGCTGTTTCCAGATTTTTCTAGTTTTTCTATTTCTCCTGTTCAAATCTAACATTCTCATGGGTGCCACTCTTCACTCCTAGAGTTAATCTTGAGGAAAGAATCAGTTCATCAATTAATATTATCTTTTCCGTCACTCATGTTTCTCTCCGTCTGTTGTCCTCTATTGTGGGAATCTGGCAATGGGCGTGGCTAACGTTGCTCACCTCCATGTCCTATGTTCACAGGTGCCCACCGGGTACTTCCAGCATCTTCTGAGGCGAAAGTTCAGGGCCTGCCATTACAAAAAGAAAATATCTCTTTCCCATTTATTTTATAATTTTTTTTTTCTATAAACATATATCATATTTCTTATAAAAAATAATGAGAAATAAATGATGGAAGCCTTGTTAATTTTCATTATTTTTTAGGAATAATTGAATGTCACACTTTAATTAAAAAGAATGGATTTAATGAACTTCAACCAGGGTTGGGTTTTTGACGTCAAAAAGTGGTTTTTGACATGACACGGGTATAATACTGGTTTAAACCGTCAAAAATGTCAAAAACTAAAGTTTGCCAAAAAAATATATAAACTTCAAAACTACCAACAGTTGCCATGCATTATATTGAAATTTAATTATACTATAGGTAATCAGCAGATTTTAAAATATTTTTTAATTAAAATTAAGGTAAAATAACAGATTTAAAATCTCAGAAATTTATATTCAAATGCATGTGCAGAAAAATTTTGCACAAAATTTTTTTAAATATTTATATTTTGAAAAAAAATTTTTTTTTTT